TTAACACAACGACAAAGACAGGCCTTTTTGGTATATTGTAATGTATTTTCTTTTTATAAAAGGACAGGACAGGATCTAATTAAACATTTATGGTCTTTGTACTAGAAGTTTCGTGAGTCATACAAAATAAATTCTTATGTTTTAGGCTTACTCACGTAATTATTTTTTTTTATTTTTTTTTTTTTTTATTTGGTTCACAAAACTGAATACAATCTAACATACATATAAAATACCTCAACAAACTTAATTAAGATTATATCCTACTAGATGTGAACACGGCATGCATAATAGAAAAATCTTACATTACTAAATGGAAACAAAAACTTTAGTTCAAAGTGTGTAAAAAGATCTTAGCTTCTTCTTGAAAGAGGCAAGAGAATCGAGACGGAAGACATCAATGTCTTTACAAATGTTATTAGAATAACAACACATACGGTACATGGGCGAGTGCTGGCCAAGATTTGTCTTAGAATGCGGTGGGTGAAAAGTCTTTCGATTGCATATCCGACTACCCGCTCGCGGTACAGAAATAGCCACGCGTTGCAGTATATCAGGAGAATCGGTAAGGTTGTGTATTAATTTATAAAGAAACATAATATCGGCTATTTTTCGTCTTGTGCCAAGAAGTTCCATTTTGTATGTTGACAGGCGTTGTTCATATGATTTTAGGTTTTGGCATCTTAAGTCATTATATGTTAGGTGATACAGGAACCTCTTCTGAATACGTTCTATTCTATTAATATGCACTTGGTAACTAGGATTCCAAACCGTACTGCAATACTCAAGAATACCGCGAACAAACGTATTAAATATTAAAATTGTGAGACTTGGTTGCTTGAATATTTTCATCTGTCTATTGATAAAACCCGAGATTCGAGAGGTCCGCTTTGTTATGTCATCTATGTGGAACCTAAAACTTAAAGACCTATCCAGAATTATTCCCAGATCACGGATGGTTGTCACTTCTGTTAGAGGGACATTATGTATTGTATAAACAGTGGGGTGAGTATTTTTTCTTCTCGTAAATTTTATATGACAACATTTTTCCAAATTCAAAGACATGTAATTATCAAGGCACCACTTGTAAACATTATCAAGATCAGATTGTATTAATTTGGCATCAGAATTATTATTGATTGCACGGTAGATTTTTAGGTCATCCGCGTATAGTTTGAAGTGAGATTTGATAACGTTCTTGATATCATCGATATAGATCAAGAAAAAGAGCGGACCCAAGTGAGAGCCTTGAGGTACTCCTGACGGAACCCTGCACACATTCGATTTGAAGCCGCAAACATAGACTAATTGTGAACGATTACATATATATGACGCACACCATCTAAGCAACGAACCATGTATACCTTTTTCGGCAAGTTTGGCCAGAAGACGATTGTGGTTAACCAAATCGAATGCCTTCCTGAGATCTGCGTACACTGCATGTACCTCACCGCCACCATCCATCACATCTACAATATCGCACACATAACTTACTAAGTTTGTGTTGGTAGATTTACGAGGTAGGAAGCCGTGTTGATTTGAGTCAATGTATTGTTGGAAATGATTCAAAAGCTTTCTATTGACAATTGCTTCCAATACCTTACCAGATGCAGATAAAATAGAGATTGGACGATATTTAGCAACATCGTCCAGTCTGCCTCCTTTGTGGATGGGCGTTAGATGTGCAATTTTCCATCGTGTAGGAAAAGTACCAGTCTGTAACGATTTATTGTAAATTATTGTTAACGGTTTACTTATATTGTGAGCACATTTCTTTAGGAAGATAGGTGGAATAGAATCTGGACCCGGTCCTTTGTGTATATCTAGGGATTTCAACCTATTTAAGACTTCATTTTCAGTAACTGTTATATTGTTATATATTGGTCCGTTCCAATCGTTATACTGGGAGGAAGAACTATTACAATTAAGATTACTATTGCAAGTGTAAACACTTTGAAAATGTTTAGAAAATAAGTTACAAATTTCCTGACCCCCCCTAGCTGTTTCGTTATGCAGAATCATTTTGTTGGGTAGAGAAATACTATTAGACTGTCTATCTTTGAAAATTTTCCAGAAGTATTTTGGATTGATTTTCAGGTGATTAACAGACTGTTTCTTAAAATTTGAATAGCATTCTGAGATCAATGCATCACACCGGTTCCTGGTGATATTGTATTGCAGTTTATCCATGAGATTACCATATTTTTTATACCTAGAGTGATATTTCCGTTTTTCTTTTAACGCCTTCAGCAATGTTTTACTAAACCATACGGGATAGTTATCATTTCGCTGTTTGCGGAGCGGGGTGTGATCACTGATTATAGGATTGATCGTGTTGTAAAAAATGTCTACCATCTCGTCCACAGACAGCGAGCACTGGAGTAGATTAGACCAGTCAACCAGCTCCAGATCATTGTTCAGTGCTTCATAATCGCACTTGTGAAAATTGTAAGTTGGAGCGGAACAAGGTCTAACGTAACTCTCTTTTGCTGTCTGTACTTCGATATGTAATGGAGGATGGTGTGGATCCGGTGGAACTAAGCAACTACCAGCTGGCGAAACTTGTATATTGGCTGAACCATTGCGCAGCACCAGATCGAGAACTCGCCCATTAGTATTGGTTATATGATTGTGTTGGTGCAAATTACAAAAAGCTAAGGAGTCGATAAAGATATGATGAAGCGCACCATCAGGTGCAATGGGAGCCAATTGAGAAGAGTCAGGATCTAAATGCCATTCTATATCACTCGCATTGAAATCTCCAACGATAAGGAATAGACGCTCAGTGTTAGCTTTGGCACAATTATTTCCATCACTGTGAACAACTTGGGTTACATTTTGAAGAAAAGCTTCAGTATACTCAAGAGTAATGGGGGCATATATACACCACAGATATTTACTACAGTCTTACCAATTTTTAAGCTAAGCCACAAATCCTCGCATGTTGACTCCCAGGAATTCATTCTTAAAACTTCATATGATTTAAGAACTGCAACTAGCACACCTCCGCCGTCCCTTTTAGTTATATAGGATCTAGTGGAAGACCTATCACGCCTAAATACATTATAGCGATGATCTAACAATTCATAGTCAAACACCGTGTCATTAAGCCAAGACTCTGTTACGACTATTAGATCATAGGTGTTTTTCAATACTGCTAGATAAAAGTCTTCCGTCTTGGTTCTCAAGCCTCGGACGTTTTGGTAATATATGTTTAGTTCGAATTTTAATAACATTAATTTAGGATTATAGTTAATTACAATAATATGTGAATATTACAGCTTGGCCAAGCAATCTAGTGATTTGATTATTCTGTGATCAGATGAAATTTCTTTGCGAACATAAATGCGACTGTTCCGTACCCACACAAATTTGTAATTTTTCTCCCTAGCAGCCATTCTAGTTGCAGCGTGTAGTTTTTTATTTTCTGGAGATAAATGCTCGGTTACGAAGATAGCTTGTTTATTGCCAGAGAAACCAATGTGCGTGCTGTTCAGTTTGACATTATCGCTAGTCCTGTTAAACATTTTGACTGATGCCAAAAAATTATCACGATTACGTTGGCTGCTTAGCTTGACTACAATGTTGCGAGGACGGCTTGACTCCGGATTCAATTTCGAGACCCTGTGAAACGACTTAACTTCGGTGTCTTGCAGGTTATACGATACGGTTTTAGCGATCTGATTAATTATGTTAAGTAGATTTTCACTTTTATGTTCAGGTACTCCTTGAATTTCAATATTAGAATCTCTGGCATGCTGTTGTATTTGGAGAAGATTTTTATCGAGTTCAACTAGTTTTCGATCAAATTCTTTGCTCTTGACGGACTGTTCAGACATACTCACAGTGAGTTTGTCGTTTAGTTTCATTTGTTCGTCGTGAGAGTCTGACAAAAACTGAATAGTCTTTATTGCCTCATCTAATTCTTCTCTCATTTTTGAGTATTTGATCCCCAGCTCATTAAAATCGCTCTGCACCTTACATAACATAGAGTTGAATTTTAAAAAAGTAGATTGTTGATTTTCGAATTTGTCCAACATTTCCTGGCGTAGATTCCGTATTTCAGTTAAAATTAGATTTTGATCAATTTCTAAGGATACCATGCTATTTAGAGGACTATTCTTAGCTTGACTTCTTTGTAATGGTGTAGAATTACCATCGTCAACTTTTTGCTGAGCACAAATAGAACAAATCCACTTCGAACGTGTCGCCGTTGATTCATTAAACTTCACACATTCTTGATGATAATGGTGATGGCAATTTTGATTAGTACACTTAATACGCTTGTGCGTTACAAGAATGTTCGACTTGCATTCAGAACATTGCACCATTTTGACAGTTCAAAGTCGCACACTAATAAAGGCTAACGAATAAAAATACAATTTCTAGTAGTCCGCCGAGTGATGAAATTGCACACTAATAAAGTCCTTTGTGAGGTCACCTGAGGGTACACTTATTATTGTCACTTAGTGTTCGTATTTTAATGCGTGTTTTTTGTTATTTGTCCAACACTAAACACGAATTCCACTCGTGTATCAATGCACTATATCAGTCTCAATCACAAATACGTATCGCTGCAGTTTGTTATGTACTTTAGACAGAGAATATGAATTTAGATTGAAGAGCAATAAATAACACAACTATTTCGATTTCGTTCCACCGTCGAATGACGACAGACGGTGACTGTCGCACTGCTACTCAGTGATCAAACATTATTTGCTTTTTAAATACCTAGCTACAAAAACAAACTATGGAAAGAAATGACTATATGTCATTGAAATGTGAATATCTTGTCAGTGCTAGTACTCGTAACAGCGCGACAGTCGCCGCGTCGCAGGTCGCGAAATGCTACTCATGAATATGAGCCTCTAGCATGGCTTGAAACTAGTCGAGTTCCTCGTCAATTAATTACGTGAGTAAGCCGAAAACATAATATTTTATTTATGGTCTTATAGATATAGACGAATGTGCGACGGGCGATGCTCCGTGTGCATACAACAGCGATGCTGGCTATGTGTGTAAGAACACACACGGTAGCTACTACTGTCATCATATCGACTGCCCGCCAGGGTACAGGCTGGATTCCATGAAGTGAGTACCACCACGAATCATCTTCTTATAATCCCATATTAAAGAATTTAGGCCCTTTTGAACACCCAGTTTTTCTTTCTATCTTTAAATGCGTAACATTTACATTTACAACACGCGCCTACACTCGCGCGATTTCACCGACTGGTGTTCGGCTCCTTCATCTCTCAAATCATGATTAATTTAGATTATCTTTAACCATTTCCATGTCATAAAATCTTAATTTACAATTGTGTTTTCAGGCGTTGTGTCAGGGAACAAACCTGTCAAGTTGGAGACTTGGGATGTTTCCACCAGCCTGGGATGTACTGCTACAAGTTCTTCACCTTTGTCGCCAATGCCCACTTACCTTTCGGAAAGGTAAGAAATATACTTTTTGATTTTCTTTTCTTTCTTTTTTAAAAAACGTTGCCCCACACTAGGATTTTCTCCTGTGTCATGGGTGCGTTTACAAATATACAAATTAACATACACATGACACCCAGACCCGGAACAACAATCTGTGGATCACACAAAGAGTTGTTCCGTGAGGGAATCGAACCCGCGACACGTTGCTCGGCAAGCGCGTACCCAACTGCCCATAGAGTGACGGCGGCGCCAAAAAAATTAGGGGCGCGAGGTATTAGGTATGTACTCAATGGTCACGAGTGGCAGAGAATAGAGAGTACTGGTCTTCTCTGGAGGAGGCCTTTACCTTTCATGGAGAGGGTTCTTGCTAAAAATATTAAATATTATAATTATGTTTATTACAACATTAATTTCAAATCTAATAACAATTAATTAATCTTATTATATATTTTTTTATTTCAATGAAATTTCAAAAATGTAATGGATTTGAACAATCTAATTGTTTGCTAAACATATCACATCATTTTTTAATTTCTTTTTAATGTATTTTGCATGCACACTGTTACTGAAATTGCAAAATGAAAAACAGGAAATAAAAGGCTTTTTATTTTATTTATTTATTTTATTATGAGGCTTACCTAGGTCGTTCTCTAGGTCTACTCCGCCTCTGATTCCCACACAGAACTACTCTTTGTGTGATCTACAGATTGTTGTTCTGGTCTAGGAGTTATGGCATGTTTGTAACCGCACCCACGACACATGAGAAAATCTTAGTGGGGCTACGATTAAGTTTTGTAATGTAACAGAATTTATTGGTTTTTTAGAAACATTTCATGAAATTCTTAATTTTAATTAAGTAAAGTAAACTATTTGGACGATCTATGATTATCTAATCACCTAAGTACGAATCTATCGTCTCCATTTTATTAATTTGATGATTTTTCAGGTGGATTTTTATAAAATGCCAAGCCCTTTCCAGTCTTGGGTCGTCTTGTTTTCGAAGGTGAGCTACGAGCTGCGCCTGGTATCGGTGCAGGCGTCTCCTGGTGTCCAACCAGCTAACCTTCGATGCTTTAAGTGAGTATCTCTTGAATATTATTCGAATGTCGTGGTGGCCCGGAGGTTTAAGACGCCCACTTCTCATGCATGAGGGTGCGGGTTCGAAACCTACCAACGGCAAGTACCAATGTGACTTTTTCCGAGTTATATGTACTTTCTAAGATTATTTAGACACCACTGACAAACGGTGAAGGAAAAACATCGTGAGGAAACCTGAACTTATAATTTCTAATTATAAGTTTGAAATCGCCAACCCGCATTGAGCAAGCGTGGTGATTAATGCTCTAACCTTCTCCGTGTGAGAAGAGGCTTTGCTCAGCAGTAGGCATTTATAGGCTGTTGATGATGATGATGATGATTATTCGATTCGAACTTTAGAAATTAAAGCTGTACACAATATTAGAGAAAGGAGTAGGTAAGTCCTTTACCTGAAGATAATAATATGAATGTTGTATCGGTTCAAGAGTATAGCCGGCGATTCATTTGCTAGTTAGGTTAGGCTAGGAAAAGTTATATAGTTAACGTTCCCGTTGCCGGGTAGCCAGACAGCACACTTAGATTTCACACATACGTATCGGTGTAGGTAATTTGTATACACTACGTCGCCGGGTAGCCGGCACTGGCTACCGTCATTATAGACACAATTAAAGAACAATAGGTTGCGGTTACCGGTGTCCTCGCGGTGTTTGATAGTTTAAAACCAGTTAACATGTTAACATGAAACATATCTTTATGCATTATTTGTTTGAAACTGAATTTTCTTTTTCTTACATTTCAGCACGCGTGTACTATACAATAGCTGCGTGGTGTCGCTCGAGTGTTCTCTGCCAGGTCCCCAGGTGGTAGAACTTGAGCTAACGAGGTCTATCATGAGAGGTTCCAGATACGCCGGCAGCACGGTCGTTCGACTCTTCGTAATTGTCTCTCAATATGAATTCTGACGGTATTGCAATTAAGTCTATTTTAGATCGCCATTAACTTTTTTCTTTCGACATGATCAATGAAAGTACCTACCGTCGGTCGCTTACCTACACCACGGTAATATTATTACCATGCCTAAGCGTTTGTCGTGAATAGTTCTAAATATTAGTTGATTTAATTATATTGATACCGATTTGATAAGACTGCCTCGTTGGCAGAGTGGTCGCAAGTGGTCTCGGGTATGATTCCCGGGTCGGGCAAAGTATTACTGGGTTTTTAATAATTCTCAGTAGTAGCACGGAGTCTGGAATTTTGCCCGGTATATGGCAATAGGCTCACCCCCTATTACATGGGACTCGTAACATAAATAGTGAAAACTGGGTGTTACATTGTGCAGTGACATAATATAGACCTCTGCCTACCCCTTCGGGGATAAAAGGTGTGATGTTATGTTATGATTTGATAAGTGTAATTCTTGAATCTTTTAAAAAACTTATTATGTTTGTAAGTAATGTATTTGAAAACAAAATAAAACGATGAAACAAATTGGAATATATCTTTTTAATTTTATTAAGCACAAGCAGACACCATGAAGGAATGGTGTTTCAGTTATATACATATAACTATATAATAGTACAGTGCACTATTAGTAGATTATAAATCTCATGATCACAACATAATTAATATTTTAAAAATTTAAACTATATCTAGACAACAGCAAAACAATTACAAACATTTTATTTTGTAACACTATAACGCTCTGGTCCCTAGATCCTGTCCACTCTTGCGCACCAAAGTATTACCATACTATAAAAATATCTTCAATACAAATACGACTCTTAAATTGCAATTATAAACTTGGATTAATAGCTATTATTATAAAAAAATATAAACATAAAAATCAAAATATAAAATAACAATAATACCTAATTCCATTAATCCAAATTTATAATATGACGCTGTTAAATATTGTGATTTAAAAAAAAGTTATGATTGTTGTAAACTATTGCAGGTTTTAGTCATAAGGTCGGTATCATTACATTTTCTCGATATTCTAAAGCCGATTATAATAATGAAAAAACTTAATTTATATGTATTTTATACAAAAAAACGAAACAATAACATTGAAATTCGTTTTCTAATCAACAAATAAATTCAACAAAGAGTAATTTTTAACATAAACCATGTTTAAGATTATATAAAATTAGAAACATAACCAAATTTGCCAATTATATTGCCAATCTCGTTGATTTTAGACCTTATGACTTAAAAAATATGCCATATATAAAATAAATAACTTTAAAAAATTAATACACATAAGAGCCATTACTAATAAAGACTATTTTAGTTTTATTACTGGTTTCCTTTTGACTTAGATTACTGGGAAAATATACACTGACTGCTATGCAAAAATCACCTTTGCTGCTTAGTAAATAAAGTCACTTTCAAGTGGCTTAAATGAGTCGACAAAAACATTTCGAAGTCATTATATGACACAGTTAACCTAAAATCTAAAGAATCAATCAAAGGGCTTAGCACGAGTTTATTTTCGTATATTGAGATCGACACGTTGATGACGTACGGCGCTCTGATTGGCCGGGCCCAATGAACCAACCAATCAGTGTGTCGAACGCGATCTCGTTTCAATCTCGTTAAACGTAAAACAAAGCCGTGTTTGTTCTCTAATAATAAAAACGACAATTTCACTTAATTTAAGTATTTTTGGTTAAACATTCTATGAGTCCAAGGTTCAATGTCACTAGAATAAAATAATATATAAAAACACTTCAAAGTTCCTTAGACCTACTAACACTCTTAATTTGTAATGGCTCCAAGACACTACAAACAATATAATATAAAACATATTCCTTATATAATTATGTATAAAATAACAAATATATATTGCAGTGGGTAAAAAATATATACATAAATATTTAAGGTTTAGCTCCGATCAACAAAGTGGCGAAGAACAGAATCCAGTAACAATTTAAATTCAACCTTAAAATGTTTTGTAATACGACTAGAATTCGAATTAAAGTTCCAAGATCCGAAAGAAAACGTGTAAAGTTTCTTCTTTTTATTTTATCACGCAAACGAGCAAACAGATTACCTGGTAGACACCCGAAACACTGAAGGAGTTCCTAGTATGTTACTGGGTTCTCAGTACTAAGTTGCTCAACGGTGCCACTTCGCCCCTCAGCGCTAACCCTTGATGAAATATGAGTGACAACGTTAATATATAACATATACAGCAGTACAACAAAACAATGATTTAATCCGAAAATAACCGCTTACTCACGTGAACTATTAGAGAAAGGCTCTACTAATTTCAAGCCATCACAGGACTCTTAATCATAAGTAGAAACCAGTAGAGCGTTTCTCAATTACTTAACTAAGTATGCCGTTATCAACAATTAATTTAGTACGCCTCACGATAGTTTTTTTATTACACAAAAATAAAATAAAGATTTTATCGATAACATATAACACGAAGACGCCATCCCTAGCTGCCGCACCACATAAGCGTATCGATACTGTAACTGCACACTGTACTTACAATTCAACATTATTATATATATATTTAAATAGATGGCACAGGGAAATAAACGAAAGCATTTGAAAGTTATAATCCATTTCTTTAACGACAGGTTTCAGAAATATTCATACAGTATTTGCTTACTAGAGATAGAATTTTCAACCTTAAGCTAAGAAGTCAAGAATCTATCTTTAATAATCAAATTAATTTGATAAATCGTTTATAGGAACCCGTCGTTAGTTTCGAACAAGAATCAAAGCGTAAGAAAACAATCGATAAACCACTGGAACGGTCAAACATTTACTGCCGTACTCATGCCGGAATACTGAAACATTATTCAATTTAAATCGCGCTTAAGTACATATAGTGCTGTCGCTACAAATTCTTTGTAAAATGACAGAGACGGCACGATATTTAAGCACGACTTAAAATTGAGTAACGTTTCAGTATCAGAGACGTTAAATGATTACTTAAAACTATTCCTTAGTAACGATTTTGTCCCGAAAACAATTAAAGACTGGGTTAAGTAACTATTCAATGTCTCCGAGGAAGGCAGTTAGACCATAAAGTAAAGTTAGTCAATTTAATAGTGGCAATAGTTATTCAACTGTAAGTACAGATTCATTAAATAATACTATTATGATAATGGCATAGACAACAGTCTTCAGAATTCAACAGTAATGTACTATGCTATTTTAAATCTGCGCTTACATATCGATTTTTGACTCGATAATCGATATCGACCATTAATCAATTTCAATCGTTTTTTTTTTAAACGTTAGTAGGAGTCCCTGATAGGATAAAATACTCTAGAAATGATTCAATATAATCTTGTCTTACTATCAAATATCAAAGTTCGGTAGAAAGTATAGGACACAACATTTCTTTGACTATAATTATATTATCAACACACCATTAGATGATGCTTAACCAGTACTGTAACCTGTTTTCATCGATCTGTTAGCTTCGAAACAATAGACACACAAAAGCTATCGATAAAAATATCGATAATGAATCAATAATCGATATGAAAGCGCAAAAATAGTAGGACAGAAAGCGCACAACACTGTGCGACACAGTAGGCTAGACAAGCATGTACAAATCTGATATGACACTGTAAATTCGTACAGTTTCACGGAACTTTCTGATAGGCTCAATATTTTAACAGTATCGGTCAAAATATAACCATTATACATATTATATAGAACCATAAGTATATAATCCTTACTAATATTATTAATCAGAAAGTGAGTTTGTTTGTTTGTTCCACTTTCACGCCGTAACTACTAGACCGATTGCTTTGAATTTTTGCAGATGTGAAGTTAGAAGTCTGGATTAAATAATGGGGTACTTTTTATCCCGAAAAAACTTGATATTCTCTCGAGGGAAAACGAAATTATTGGTATAGATGGCGCTGTGTGTATTGGTATATGTCACATAGGCTACTTTTTATCCTTTTGTGACGCGAGCGAAGCCGCGGGTAAAAGCTAGTATATACAATACAACAAGCCATATAATACAGAACACTGTAAAAAAAACAATACTGATATAGAAAAATGCCATTGAATTGGACAGTAATACGCGTTCTTGTAAATCAACAACTTATTACTTGGTAATATAGTACAAAATCGATAAAAAAATGCTGCCTTGAAATGCTCAAATCCAGATTTTATCACTCCCAAGATAGAGGTTATAGTGATGTCAACAAATATTTTATCATAGGATTGTAACATGTTATATTTTCACCGATACTGCGCTATTTTGTGACTAAACGATTGCTATAATATAATAGTTAGTTTCACCTAAAACGTAAAAACACTTTACACGCCTAGAACTAACGTTAACAAAGACGTTATTGTTACGAAGCTACCCTCACTCGACATTTGTGACCATTATCTTACATAACCCTCATTTACTTCACTTAATGCACACTAAGATAACTATGCTGTATAAAATTATATATATATTGTATAATATAATTATGATTTTCAATAAAAATCTATCAATTGTATAGAACTCCGCGGTATTTGTAGTAAATATTTCCAAGGCATTATCAGGTAATTTTTTCACTAGTTTATCGATTATATATTGCACAAAATCAAGTCTCAGTGTACATCAAGCATTCACGAAATAACTAACAAAAAACATCTGCGCATGACTTTTAACGTAACTAAAATAGTAAGTTGTATATAATATATAAAGAAAATGATCATATTTAATATGACAAAATGTAACACATTTCAACTTATCGATAATATCTAGACAACAGGGCTCAATAAAAGCTAAAGAAAATGGCATTTTGTAATCACTTATCAATTTAAACTAGAAAAATATTTCTTTTACCATACTAGGCTGATCTAACTGATTTCTCTTATAGTCCTCATCTCAAGTGATTGCGATGCTTAACACAGGCACATGTTCAAAGTCAACTATTGATATATGTATTCTATATAGTAAAATCTATTGTAATATAATATGCATTTATATTCCATATAATTATCTATGTGTAAATCTTTCAGTGAACACTATTTCGCGATGCGCTGTACAAGCATTATGCCACAGCGCAAAATGCCATAAACAAAAATAACGTAGGTATATTAACAAATATATAAATAAATGTATATATAAATATATATCAGCCACACACTAACCGGCCACTCGCTGCATTATAGTAGTACTAGTGAGATTATAGTAGGCTCCCACGGGGTCAAGTAGCGTTAAACAACTATACATCAAAAACATTGATAAATTTGTTTAGACTCGAGTGTCTTTTACAGCAGTTTATTTTTAATTTGATATGAGTTTAATAAAAAAGTTCAGTCGATCGTTAAAAAATTGTTAGGAAGCATCTAAACAAATTCATCAAACGTAAAAATTACATACACTACAACATCGTCGTGTGCTATGCACATCGTCAAACACTATACATCTAGACACGAACACTACTTGCTAGTCGTCGGGGTTATTCACAGAGATCATTTCTTCTTGACGGTCGAGCTACTGGCACAACTACTCGACCGGGTTTGGACGCCATCCTTCTTCAGCAAACTGACTCCGAACGCGGGACATTTCTTTCGCAACGCCTTGATTTTATACAATTTGTTTCCCTGGGAGTTGTTTGTCTCCTCATAGTTGTCGGGAGTGACGTCCGCCGTGATCACAGAGTTAGAGATACAATCCATCGGCTCCGGACTACTTGACTTGTCCCGTTTCCGTCTGAACCTGAACGGAGTTTCGAGGGAATCCGCGGATATATTAGTGACATTCGTGTCACTGGAAGACAGATCTTGTGTAGATTCGAGACCAGTTTTAGGCAAATTATTCTTAGGGAGCTTTTTACGGGAGCTGGAGTTAGATCTAACTATTAGTTTCTTGCGCGCGTTTATATTTGAATTAGTAGGTTTAGTTTGCACTACAGATTTGAGATTTGGCTCAGATGGGAGACGATTTTTGCCATTTAAATGGCAATTTTCTGTAAGTGCAGATAAAGTTGAAGTTACGTTGTTCAGTGTTGTGACGACTGCGCTGTCGTTGGTGGGGATTTTGCTGACGCTGACGGTCTTTCTAGTGAAGGTTTTGAGGGGACTTGATCCGTGAGTGTAGCCTAGAGCGGGGCGCGCGAGGTTGGCTCGTTGGCCGTGGAAGCTACTCTTACCGGTGAAGGGTTTGACGGGACCCGTCAGTTTATTGGCTTGAGAATTGGCACTTCTAGTTGGGGGAAATGTCGAAGTCTTTGATGCGTAATGAGATTTGAGAGTGGAGTTGATGATCCGAGGAGGTTGCTTCAAGTTGGTGTTGTTGGCGTTCCGTATGTTGTTGGTGGGCATCATGTAGTTCATTTTGGGCGCGAACACTGTCTTCGTTGGGAGCATTGGAGTGGGGGTGGTCTTGTACTTGCCGATGACAGTTGTTACGTTGTTCTCGGAGTCAGGCTCGTTGGCGTTCAGAGCGTTGGCGTTGTCCAACTGAAAGAGGAATTAGATGTTTAAAGTTTCAAGCTCGACTCAAGTAAGACTAGGACCCATATTCACGAGTTTTCGATACTTTTGGAAAAAATCTTATACTATTATATAAAACGGAAGAGTTTGTTTTTTTGTTTGTTTGAACGCGCTAATCTCCGTATTTACAAGTCTGATTTGAATAAATCTTTTTGTGTTGGATAGCGCATTTAATGAGGATATGGCTATAGGCTATAAAACATCACGCTACGACCAAGGAGCTGAGCAGAGCGTGTGAAGCCGCGCGAAAGTAGCTAGTAGTTTATATATCAAAAGTACCTTATTATTGGTGATCTTGCTAGTATGAAGTATTGTTTGCAAGGACACAGGTTTGTTATCCACAGCTGGTTGGACCTTCTCCTCCACTTCTGGTATCTCGCTGTAGATCCCTCTCTCGAAGACCGGAAGCGAGGTGATATTGTGACGACGCCGGTACGACTCTCCTTCCGCGTGCATTCGAGGTTGGACACTGAAAATATAAAGATTATGACATTAATATAGACATAATATCATTACTTTTAATCTGTACAAGAATAGGCAAAAGTGCCCATACTATTATACAGGATGACTTGTTGTTAGAGCGTAATTTCGTATAAGGTTATAGAACACATTATTTCCGATCCAAGAATCAACCTGAAGATCCCTTGTATGACAGGTGCACTTGAATGGACTAACCCGACTTAAAACTGTCAAACACCGCGAGGACTCAATGACGACGAGGATGACGGTACTCAAAGGTTTAAATGAAGTATAGAAATCTTGATCACGAAGGTGGTTATTTGATGACATTAATGTCTTTATAAAAGTTGGTATTGCTGCTGAGTATTGGGATACATGTTACTCTAATGATGTTTGGCCCATGAATGCTAAGATCAAACCGTGGGTGCACCTCAGGAGGCCGACTCGCACAATAAGAACCGGCGGTGGTGTGTCGGGTGCATCTAATGTGTCGCAACAGCAGTCCTTTCGTGGAGCCATTAGCTCACAATCGTAAAGTGAAGGTTCATCGTCTCGATATTTTTTATCAGAACGTTCGCGGTCTGAAAACTAAGCTCTCTATGTGGCGCAATAACCTTGCCTCTCTGGAGCATAACTTGGTAGCTGTTACTGAAAGTTTTCTTGATTCTACTGTTGTGAACTCTGAACTAGAAATTGGTGACTGGAGTGTTTTACGTCGTGATAGAAACACGCCGTGCGGTGGCGTTCTTATGGCGGCTAAAGCGCCCATTGTGCTTTGTAGGAGATGTGAATACGAAACAGATTGTGGGGAGGATCTATGGGCGACCTTTACATGGGGTGGTCATGTATTTCTCGTTTGTGTTGTGTATATAAAACCCAGTGCTATTGATGAGGACTACATGCAGTGGTTTTGTAAAACCGAAAGTTTTGTGAACGATTTCAAGGGGCCTGTAATTATTATGGGCGACATTAATCTGAACAGTGCATCAGTCAATATAAAGAATTACTATTGCTATTTTTTGTCTTATTGTTCACTTGAGGATAGAAATACGATTACTAATGATCACGGAGGATTTTTAGACGTTATACTGATTCGGGAAGGCTCTCATGACGTTTTTGTTACCGGGACTGATGGAATAGTCCCACCGGATTGTTATCACCCTGCATTGGATGTTGAGGTAAGGGTCATATCAACTCATTGTTCAGATTCAATTGAACCAAGTAATATAAACCCTGACAAAGACTGGAATTTTAACAGATGTGATTTTGAACGGTTATACCAGGTATTGTCGGAGGTCGCTTGGGAACCTGTTTTACAAGCAAATAATGTATCCACCGCCGTAAATACTTTTTACAGCATAATCTACAGTATTTTTGATGATTGCATCCCTAAGAAGCGCCGTGCTAAATCTAGAAGTAAACGTTACCCTGTCTGGTTCACTCCTGAGATAATTCAAGATGTAAAGTACAAACTCAAGCTTCATACAATCTGGAAACACACCAATTGTCACGAACACTATAAATCATTTTCTGAATTAAGAAGTTCATTGAAACATCGTGTCGTGGATGCTTACAAATCATATATTCACCGCATAGAAAATAACATAAAAGTTAATCCACTAGCATTTTGGCGGCACATCTGTAACCTACGTTCTAAGGGAGGTTTTGAATCTAGAGTTAGCTACCAGGGCAACAGTTTTACCGGAACCGCTGCCGCTGACGCATTCGCCAGTTTCTTCTCTAGTGTATTCCTACCCGATGTACCATTATTAGACGTAGCATCGATCAATAGTTCTGACATCAGTCGCAACAACAATTATGTCAACATACTGAGTTTTACACTAACTGAAGTCATACATGGTATAAACAAATTAAAACCTAGTAGTTCTATAGGCCCAGATTGCATTCAACCCTTTCTTCTGAAACATTTAAAGAAATCATTTTCCTCTCCATTATGCCATATATTCAATTTGTGCTTAAAAACGGGCCACTATCCCATCCAATGGAAGACTTCCCGAGTAACACCTATACCTAAGACTTCTGATAAATGTGCAGTTGAGGGCTATCGACCTATTGCTATATTATCTTCACCAGCAAAAATTTTTGAACACGTCTTACACAAATTGATATATGCACAAGTACAGACACATCTACATAATGCACAACACGGATTCAGACAAAAACGATCGGTTAACACCAACTTACTGACATTAACTGAGTTTATATCTGCTCAGCTTGATATAAAACGACAAGTGGACGTGCTGTAGTTTGATTTTAGCAAAGCCTTCGACAGAGTCAATAATGACATCCTGCTTTTAAAGCTCAGCACTTTAGGTTTCTGTCCGAACCTCTTGCGTCTTCTTGCAGACTACCTCCGGGATCGCCAACAGTTTGTTCGGCTAGGAACTTATGACTCGAGCCCTTACCACACACGCTCAGGCGTGAGTCAGGGATCGATTCTTGGACCTTTACTTTTTCTGTTGATGATAAACGACCTACCATTAGTTCCCGAATACACAAAATGTCTTCTATACGCAGATGACCTCAAACTATATGCCAGTGTTAAAACTGTGCAGGACTGTGAAGCCATACAAAAGGATGTTGACGCTGTCTATGAATGGAGTGTAGCAAATAAAATGAATTTCAATGTATCCAAATGTTGTGTAATGACTTTTGGTCGAATGCGGCATCCAATCTACTACCAGTATAGACTGAATGGTACAGTTTTGTCCAGATCAACAACAACGACGAAAGATTTGGGAGTCACTTTTGACCAGAAACTTACATTTCATGACCACATTGTCGTCGTCGCCAAGGAATCTTTCAAGAGACTTGGTTTCGTTCTTAGAAACTCAAAAGATTTCCGTAAAGACCATGTCATTCGGCTATTATACAATACGCTTGTTCGGAGCAAGCTCGAAGCCAGCTCTAGCGTGTGGAATCCTCATGAGGCCACTTATGCTCTTTTGTTAGAAAAGGTACAAAAAGCGTTCCTACGATTTTTGTATAAACGTCTGTTTGGTTACTACCCGTATCTGTATCCAACCAAATTCCTGACTGGATGTCTTGGATACAACACTCTGGAGACCAGGCGGGAGTTTGACCAAGTAGGCATAATGCTTAAAGTGTGTCGTGGATTAACTGATGCTCCAGATCTTCACAATGAGTTGATACGACTATACGTGCCTGATAACTATCTTCGCAATAGGAACCATCGGCTCTTAGCGGTGCCTACTTCCCGCACTAATGCACGTGCGAAATCTCCAATTCCACGTGTTCTTGCTGCGTTTAACAACCTCATGAAGGTCTACCCGGATTGTGACTTGTTTAATGATAAGTATAAGGCTGTAATGTCTGTTTGCCTGGTGTATTGTGAGCAGAACCACATATAAAAATGTTATTTTATCTCGGTTTCCAGATTCTGTGTACGTATATTGTTATTATTACTGTTATTTAATTTTAATTCTAAGTTGTATTGTATTTTGTATTGTGTATATTTTTTTGTGTCCAACTTTATCTGTTTTGTAATTTTACTATATTTTCTCATTTTCTTTTAATACCTTTTTAATGTACTTTGATTTAGTTTTCTTTTTTTATGTTTTTTTGTAATTTAATTTGATTAATGTAATTGGTGTCTACCGTGTTAATCAATAAACAAATAAATAAATAAATAAATAAATAAATAAATAACACGCAAGCGAAGTCACAGGTAAAACTTAGTATTTTTTTAATAAAGTAACTGGTACTCACTTTTCCAAGAACCACTGCTGATGTCCAATGACAGAGCCGGGGCGGCAGATGCGTAGCCACGCGATCGACTCCCGCGCAGTGAACGCATGGTGCTTCATCAGGTAACATGCTATTAGGGTACCTGTGCGACCTAGGCCCGCTGGAAGTGATATGAAATATTTATTTAGTGTTATTTTTTATTTATTTTTTAATACCAAGAAGTTTAGTGATGTATGTCCTGTTCTTCTCCTGGGTGTCTTAAAATTTGATTAAGAGACTGAACACTTGCCAAAAATGTCCCAGCAGCGTTTTCTAATAAGCTTGAAATTTTAGGGTGCGTCCAAATCTGGCGAATGTGCCGCGAATCCGCATGCCTTTAAAATTATTATTTATACCAACCTTGCATGAGTTGAGCACCAAACCATTGCGTGACTACAGGCTCGCGGGAGGCTCGCGAGCTGCGCATTCACGGAGCATTCTACATGTGGACGCACCCTTAAGCTATTACAAACTTTTCTTATTTAGAGAAGACCTATAGTCCCATAGTGAATTGTCATGGCTTGGTGCATGTGATGCGATTTATTTCAGCGTTCCTAAGCCGCGCATTTTGCCAAAGTTGTTGAAATTTTGTAACAACTTCACGATCTTCAAGTCTTCAGATTAGACATAACTGTTTGACAGCATAGTACGATAATATGTTTCTTTTTTGATATATTTCATATTAACCATCTTACCTTTACAATGCACAGCAACAGCTCCTTTGGCGGCTTCAGTGATCCTTATAAACCGATTCACAATAAGGTCTGAAGGTACGGAGCCATCGACGAAGAACAGTTCTCTATGTTCAAACCCATGGGCGGTGAACTGCCGAGCATCATAGGACTTCTTGTTAAGCCGTACTATGGTGGTTACATGGTGTTTCCTGAAGTAATCGTGGTAGTGTTCAGGGCTATGGAGCGGGTAGCCACGGTCCAGCCGCGACCGATGGTGGGGACCAGAGAAAGCCAGCATTTTGCCTGGTATAATCCAGTTCAGGTCGCCGTTTTCCACTTTCTGTAATGTTTGAAAAAGATAATGAACTTATTACTATGTAACAGCTACAAAGCAAATGGTCTTAGTCTCGATTCACAGATTGGGTATTGTTTTTAAGATATATTATAAAATTTTTCTACTAATTCCTTGCTTGATTCGGACTTGAAACCTGTGACCTCCAGTTCAGACTTTGGCATCCAATAAAGTAACGAGTCTCAGTCAAAATTTAACCATGTCTCACTCAAGTAAGTACAATACAACAGAAGGTAATTTTTGCAAAGTAATAAATAGCATTTTTATTAGTCGTGTAGGACGTCCGAATTGTGTCGCGGATATAAAGCCCACTCATTGCGGCAAAGGTCGACGACATTCTCAACTGTTCAATAATTTAGCTCAAACTACAAAATGTTGCGGAAAAAATTGAAACTATACTGGTTTTTTGTCTAAGTTGGGATGAAAGTTGTTCCTGGTACATTTTGGAAATTAAAAAGTTGCATGCATCATTGATAGTGGTTACAACCGCGACCGAAACGCTCACTACCGCAATATGGATCCCAGGTAAGAAACCGGAATGAGACAAATGTTTGATACGTTTTCAAAACGTACTGTTCATCTGGTACTAAGACTGGTATATAACAATAAACTCTCTCTCTCTCTCTTAAAAACTTAACTGGCCAAAAATTATTTCTCTGAGGTATTAAGTAGTAACCACATATTCAACAAAAGATAATTTATTTTAAATTGAACTTACCTCATAAAACAAATACTGTTCGGCATCGAAATTGTCGAAATCGAAGAACCGAGCATCATGGGCCACCTTGATGCCGTGCAGCACATCGAGGAGGGAGATGTCGAAGAGTGGTGGACCTCCTGACGCGTCACGGAAGTTCAGGAGGGACCACTCTGATCCATCTGTCAGCTGCTTGTACACCGCTGCTGGGCTTGAGTCCAGGTATATTATCTGAGGAGTTCAGATTAGTTGAGTGGCAATTAAGCGGAAGAAGATCAAATCAAAATGTCTTTAATGGGGTCGAAATAGAAAAAAACTAAATAAATGCCATAATAGGGTTTTTTTAAGGGGGGAAATCATCGAATGACTTCTTACTGACTTAAAACCACCCCGTTCCTACTCCTGCACTTCAAGCCAGAGCCCCGGTAACCCGTTAGATTCTCCGCGGCGCCATAATAGGGTTATGATCAAGTTGTGCTTTAAATATTTAAGAGGTAGGATCTAAAATTCATGTTTACCAAGATGACCATTAGTTATCAAATCATAAATCATTCCTTAAAATTCAGCTTCACATTAAGATCCCATTACACTAACTTCCATAAAATTACTTTCATCAAAAAATCGTTTTAAATATTAAAGTATATTTCAGTGCTCGTCATCCGAAAATATTCGCTTAGGAAAATGCCAGGACGAAACGGAGACGTCAAATCATACGCCACATTAAATTTCGATACGATTCGTGGAAAATGCTACCATCCGTCTAGCTGTATCAGGAAGACTTAGAAATTCAAGGTTGTTGCTTGCATAACTAGACAATAATGGATATACATGTGTACCTGTTGTTTTAAGACCTAATTATAACGGTCGACTGCCCTTTACAAGTAGTTTGTTCTGCGAAAATCATCCTTATTGGTGTCAAGTTAAAGTGCTGTTAAAGTATATTAATAGAGATATCATTTTGGAAAGTGACGGATTAGACGCTTTGGACAGTGAAGTCAAAATTAAATTATTTTAGCAGAATGTTTGAATAAAGTTTTAACAGACTTACTAGTGTGATTATATTTTAACATTGCAAATTGAATTCTTTAAAATTTAGAAAAACTTGGCCTTACAAACAGACAAACTAAAATGTGCCATTGCTGAAATGAAACTATCCATATATATCGGTCTATAAATTGTCCCACTGCTAAGCAAATTAATAAATCCTTATAGTACGCTCGACCCTTATAGGATTACAAATGTAACGGATATATTACATACAGGTAACTTTAATACGACACCTACACGGAGTACCATTTAATCAGTTAAAAATATACGTGTACCTACGTGATTGTTAGTGGAAATAGAAGCTGGTCAATTAGGGTGTAACCGGACCGTGTCCCACGCACTCCCTATTATTCAATGAAACTCGACTAAGACTTGTGGAAATTGGCACCGGGATGCGCCTTAAGGTCGTTCTCACAGATCACTGTGTAGCACTTCATCGAAACGAGGATTACAAAAGGTTTTATGATTGTTAGGGACATTAATCAAATCATAATTCATATTTAATGTAGTTGCAATAAGAACTAGTTTAGATCTCAAGTTTTCATTTAAGAAAACACTATTAAAAGTGCTATTACGACTCTGTATTATGAAAAGCATAGTCAGGATAGGTCTTATCACCATAATGAGAAAACTGACAGTGGTTCCAATCAAAGACTAAAAACCACGCGGTTCGCAGACATGGTGACATAAAGGTAAATTTTTATCCATCAGCTAGTTCCATAGTCCTAACATGATCAAAAGCTTAGCACTATTTACGATCCCTATTTCGTATGTTAGATAGCATAACAAATATAGCCCTAACCACCTGACGCTTCCATACATTAGTGCCACATGAATACCTGACTATTCATACATGATCGGTCACATATACCCCTTGACGAACATAAACTTTATGAAGGTTGGAGGGTTGTATCCGTTTGTCAGAACACGACATGGGACCCGTAAATATGATTGACAGTCTCGTTAAGCCGCGAAGGGTTGACTGATATGTTTTATGACTTGTAGACTAATTCTTCATGATGTATTTTTGATTTGATTTACGATGCTGCCTTTGAATTAAGTGTATTTTTAGATGTGTGGAATTTTAGTTGAAGTGCGTTTTTATGTTCTTTTCTATTTTACATGTCTAGTTTAGCAAGAACCTCAAAAGTCTCAAGGTGCCACAATTTTTTAGAAATATCATTGAAGTCATTATAATATCATACAGGGGTTGACTTGCAAGCGTAAATTTTAGATAATTTATGATGGGGAGTATCCAAATAACCCCCATGTATGTTCTACTATTTTGCGTAATTTTCGAGTTATAAAGTTTTTAATTATTTCTTTCGTAGAAATATGGAAGAGTAAAATTCGGAAATATGAGAGAGTAAATATTACCTGATAGCTCCCAATAAGGTAAGCAGCATTGAGTCGAAGGGTCTCATTGTTGCTGGTATAGAAGACGATTTTTTTCTTCGGATTCTTCTCCAATTCCTCATTAAGCTTGTTGCAAAATTGATACAGATGACAGAGGTGGTAAGGTCCAAAGTCGAAATAAAAGTTTTCGTAGACAATCTCATCTTCGATGTGAAAATATTTGCTGTTCCTTGTTGATTTCGGTTTATAACCATTCTTCAGAGTCGCGAAATACAGTCTGTCTGAAAGAAAAACCTCTTGTTAAAAAGTCGGTATTTTATGCTGTTTTCTTTTAAGTTGAACATAGCATGCTGGAAAATCGTTAGCATAGATAAGTATTAGTTAAATGTCTACAATAATAACTTTTCCATTCCGGCTCTTTTTTGATATGCTGTAATGGAAACTTCGTTTTAGTCCTTCGATAATTTCACTGTCACACTTTCGGATTAATTTCACTGTAGTTATAATTACGGATAAAAGACAGTTCAGTTTTCCCTTCTTTTTATTTTATTTTTTTGAGAGGGTATAATCATCCAATTGACTTCCTCGCCTTGGTTTATGCGAGGAGTGTCACTCTTACTGTATAAAAACTACCCCGTTCCTACTCCTATTCTTCGAACCAGAGCCCCAGCAACCCGTAAAGCCTTCCGCAGCTCCGTATCGGCATCAGCCCTACTGGGACTCATATGTAGTTTAGTTTTCCCTGGATTTACTATTAGAAGTATAAAATCTTCTTAATATTACTGTCGACCTTTTATGTAGCAAATAATATTCATGTAAACATTGATACTGCTTCTGTAGATGACAAAATGGAGAAAGAAAAACATAAATACGTGTATACAACACCATAAAGTTTATTTTCCGCTTCAATACAATCACGGGATTCTATACAGAAAAATAAAATAAATGGTGAACAGACAGATCCAATAATCTTGCCGGCGAGACATATATTTCACTTTGACATAGCTAAAGAAGTTTTATCGGAGAAGTGAAAGACGTTATATCTACTTTATTATGCAGTTTTTGTCTACAACTTATAAATACTGGTTGCGTGATTGGAAACCTAATTTTATGTTGTTAACATTGTTGCTATAGTTCAATGGAATCAATAATGGTGGATCGATAGCTGAAATGAAGTCTAGAAGTTTTAATAATGCCTTAGATTTTTAAGATAGGGTTTTAGAAGATTTGGCATAACTAGTGCACTCAAACCGTATAACAAGTATAAGTCAAACTTTTAAAATGGTGATAGAAATAGGCTCAGGGTAAACCTGTTACAAAACACTAATTTTTCCGGTATTTTTTCGGTATAGGCCTGCAAAAGATGGTAAGCAATCGACACTGGACACTCGCAACCTCACAGGAGTTTAAGATTTTGGGGGTTAGGAATTTGAGAGTAGGGGACGGTACAGAATTTTTGCACCTAAAGCAGAACTCCTTATCTAATTACTTCAGACAATAACGGGTATATATGTTTTAAGTGTCCATAAAACTGAAGAGACTAAAAATTTACTGGTACTAAAATGAGACACAAATTGAAGAAGTTTGTTAACTATTACAAGAAACGATCGTTAAAACTAACAACAAAGTTGCTGAAGTCGATGTCTTTGTAAGCAAAGAAGACAATCAGCACAGAGTAATTTAGTAACATTTTCTAAGTTTCGAGTTCTTTTGACAACTAGTGATATTTTGGAAGCTTTAAGAATAGCTAACAGTATAAAAAGGTATAGTGCGAATTAACCAGACTGTTTGAGCAAATCTAAACAAGAAAACAAGACGATAATCAGAATTAAATAAAAAAGGGAAAGGAAACACAAAACACATAAACACACTCTTCAATGAACAACACGAAACAGAAGCAAGGAGACCATAGATCTTCAGTACTTGTATAGAACAGAACGTACGTCATGGTTTAGATTCCTCTAAACCACAACACTTAGCAGACGATCATCAACAAGCCGTACCAACCCTATCTACGTACGTAGGCTGCTAACCACGACAAACCTTACATAATCATTATCCGTATAACTCCTTAAATGTCAAGGGATTCAAAGAGCAAGCAAACACGTTAATCTAGTTGATACAAGTTTCTAATAGAACCAACTACAGTAACAGAGTATTCAGTAGTTTGTGAATACATTAGTAAAGTTATGTCTGTTGGTCCGTTGAGATGTTTCACGGATGCAGAGGTTAGTTATAACAGTTGATTACGTCGTAGTTATACCAGGATATGTTTTGGCATTCTCTAAATTTTCGATTACCTAACTGCGATCCCCAAGTAGTCTTTGAAGACTTAGGCAAACCTATCCTTACTTAGGATGAAACCTTTGTTTAGGAGTAGACATCTTATAACTGATGATGATGAGTTTACTGTCATGATTGTTGAGAATATTATTTGGGTTAGAAAATGTCTAAAACAAGATTTTTTGTACAAAAAAGATGTTGATTTATTTTTGAAAGTTCAATTATCGGCAAAATGCGTCTCAAATTAAATGGTGTTAATAAAACTTTTGCTTTTGAAGAGAGAAATAACTCCAATATACATAACTACATATTTATTTCATTCCAAATACAACATAAACATGACATAAATGAAATATTTATCTCTAATTGAAGTGACATTTATCGTAAATCGGTTTCTTGGCATTATACCAACTAAACAACTAAATCTTATTAAACTGATTCAATAAGATTTGATTATTTATTTTACACTGATTTAATGCTATGTTCTATAATGGGTTATGGCTGCATATAAACAAGAAGATTTTCATTAGTATTGTTTCAAAGAACAGACTGTATTACTATCTTGGAATTTCTTAACAGAAAAACTTAACAGTCGTTTTTATGAGCGCCAGAAAACGGCCAATACAAGACCTTAATATCCACAGTTGCGTAGACAATGACAAAAAGCGAATAACGCAGAAGACCCGAAAAAAGGGACCGAAATGAAATATTTTTTTAAATAAAAAGATTAGTTATTTAAATATTAAAAGTAGACGAGGGTATCGCTCTAAAACAATTTGAAGTGTCATCTAGATAAAACAGACTAGGGTCACTGGGAGTCACCCTTGACCTTCTAGGGGACCTTCAGCTCGTGACGCAAAACAAAAAGGGAACCCAATAATACGCGCAAACTTTGGCAATTAGGTTTATAACAATTTCAGTTCATCCTAAATTTAGTTATAGAACTGACTGGAATTCCAGGCAATCAGATTGTTCGTTGTTGAGGATTAAAACGGGACAGATTATAACAAGCGCATGGTCTGATTTAATTTAACTAGGATTAGCTGAATATTAATAGAAGTTATTTGCGATTAAATTCCTAGTACCGGATTGTTTTAATGTTAGTTTACGTTATAATAGTTTAACAATAAGTATTTTAGGAAATTCGATTGGCAATTCCTAGGAATTCATCATTATCGTCAGCTGTACCACTACTAGACAAAGGAAGAAGTCTCCTCACATGACGAAGGAATTAACTTGTCTTTTGCAGCAAGAGATGGCCACTAAATTTGACACCAATCGAAAAATCTAATAACCATACAACTTGGAAACTAATACAATAACAGGACTAGGTACAGAAGGGAATAGGTAGTATTTATAACAAAGCTATAAAGTACTTCATCGTGTTTAGAACTTTCAATAAAGTCGACATAAAACGAGCGACGAGACTGCCAATTTTCCAGTTATAAAGGCTTATGAGGTCGACGAAGGAAAACCTTTTCAAACGGGAGGAAGTTTGATTAAACAAATAAATCTAGCAAAACGATCTCGAGTCACTTATGCGGGCATTGAAGCAGTCGTAAAGCTTTTGTCGGTTTCCCTAAGTAAAATGGAACTTGATCCCTAAAAGCACCTAAACTAGGCTATGAGTTTTTGTCGTGTGGTAGATCTTTTGGTAATGTTATCTCTAAAGAGGATAGACGTTTGCTTAGCTGGATTCATTTTCTACTCAGAGTAGATAAGGATTTTGACGATAGGTACCCTGGAAATGAAAAATCAAGGACTCTTGGAGATATCATAGCAGACCTTAATAGCACAGAGTATGAAATAAACTCAAAACCTTGTTTACCACAGAGCAACAAAATAAAAGGTGAACAGCACGACTACTAGTACTAACTAAACCAACGTAAATAAATACGTTTTTATGGAGTAGGCCCCTGATGAATAACAGCCTTTTTACCTTCGTAATATAAAACATTAACCAAGGCGCCTTAGGTTTGCACTTTACACATAAAAACGCTAGGTTTATTTCTGCATTGGTATAACACGGTACATATACTGATAGCCACGTCAAGGGGACGTAATTGCCCCCAGCACTTATCGTGTAGGTCTCGGAGTCCCAGTCATAAGACACGAGAACTATTATTCTATTAGATCTTCCCTGCAGTTGCAATCATGTCATGCGGTCCCAGTTCGTAGATAAAACTTCAGAAAGAACGAATTTATTTATATAAATATCTATCGCTCCTCTGTGTGTTATAACCGTAGCAGTGGCTTTACGCGCCGTGCCGACCCTTAATAATTTAAACCGTCCAACTATTTTGCTACCTTGATCAGCTCACAAATTTATTTTAAGATTAAGGAAATGATCATTTGTTTTACAATAGACCGCTAAAATTTTGGTACTTGGCTTTTCATTACCGGAACTAAGTAGGGTCATCTTTTCTACTTTTAGCTGAAGACATGAAAAATAGTTGTTCTTTAGAGTACCCGTGACTTGTATTATTTGTGGCAAATAAAGCAGCTACCTACGATCTACGGAATGTTTAGTGACCATCTGTTGCTGACCATCCGTAAGGTCACAAACGATTTTGATGTCATCAAACAATCAATTTGTATGAAAATTGTTCCGTGGCCAAGGTTACGTCACGCCGACATTGTCCAGTCCTTGTCAACATGGTATATGATACTATTTTGTGTAGGTAGTGTTAATAATGAGTTGTAGGTATAATAATAGACATCACTACATAGTTAATAGTAGTACTAGTAGTCAACTGGTTACTTAGGACTGTTACCAATTTTTAATGAAAAGTTACGCATATTTTTAGAAAAATGACTTGAAAGCTTTTAGACATAGACAACCGCATTAAGTGCCTTCTTAAGTACCAATATGTATATATTAGGTATACGATCTTGTAAACCTCACTACCAACTCCAAAATCACAAAGGAAAAACACAAAAGGACAGCGCAGATTCACCAATTAGAGCTTACAAAAGAAAAACATCAATACTGTCCATT